AGAGCCCCATCATGTCCCAGATTCCTCAGAGGTCGTAGAAGGTACGATCCCTATTTTCCACCGCTTTGCCAAAGTTTTAATTGATCCTGGTGCCACTCATTCTTTTGTTAACCCTGATTTCATGTGTGGCATCGATATAAAACCTGCTAGTTTACCATATGATCTAGAAGTTAGTACACCTACGGGGAGTCAACGTTTGGTTACTAGTATGGTTTATCGGGATTGTGAAGTGTGGGTAGGAGAAAAGAGATTTTTAGGAGACTTGATAAGCTTGTCCATTAAAGGGTATGATGTGATCTTGGGTATGGACTGGCTAGCCAAATATAATGCCCAACTGCATTGTAAAACGAAAGTGGTAGAATTCCGCATTCCTGGTGAGGCAACCTTAAGGTTGGACATAAGGGGCAGGTTAGCCTCATCTGCTTTGATTTCGGGCATTCGGGCTAGGAAACTGCTAAGTAGAGGGGCGCAAGGATTTTTGGCCTTTTTGATTAACACCCCCACGGATAAGTTGAAAGTGGAGGACGTGCCCATAGTGAAGGAATTTCCGGACGTGTTTGCTGATGAGTTAGTAGCTCTACCTCCGGAAAGAGAGATTGAATTCAAAATAGACCTGCTACCGGGAACCTCTCCTATCTCGAAAACACCATACCGAATGGCTCCTGCGGAGCTCAAGGAGCTAAAGTTGTAATTACAGGATCTTTTAGAGCGGGGATTCATTCAAGAGAGTGGGTCTCCTTGGGGAGTCCCTGTGCTGTTTGTGAAGAAAAAGGATGGTGGGTTGAGGATGTGTATCGATTATCGGGGCCTGAATAATATTAGGGTAAGAAATAAGTATCCACTGCCCCACATAGATGAGTTGTTTGATCAGTTACAGGGAGCGGTGGTTTTCTCGAAACTGGATCTCCGCCAAGGGTATTACCAGTTATTAATCAGGAAGGAGGATATTCCAAAAACCACTTTCAACTCGAGATATGGGCATTATGAGTTCGCAGTTATGCCCTTCGGACTAACCAATGCTCTTGCCGCCTTCATGGACCTTATGCATAGGGTTTTTAAGCCCTATTTAGACCAATTTGTCGTTGTTTTTATTGATGACATCTTGGTCTACTCCAAAACTCGCGAGGAGCATGAGCAGCACTTGAGGGTGGTGTTGCAGACCCTAAGGGAGCATCAGTTGCACACCAAGTTCAGTAAGTGCGAGTTTTGGTTGGAGAAAATCGCTTTCCTAGGGCACGTAATCTCCCACGAAAGCATCTCGGTTGACCCGGCGAAAGTAGAGGCGGTGACTAATTTGAAGAGACCAAAAAATCCCACCGAGATCCACAGCTTTCTAGGGCTGGCTGGGTATTACCGGCGTTTCATCAAGGACTTTTCCAAGTTGGCTGGTCCCCTAACCGACTTGACAAAGAAACATGGTCGGTTCGTATGGAACGCCCGATGCGAGACAAGTTTTCAGGAACTAAAGAGAAGATTGACCATAGCTCCAGTGCTAGTCTTGCCAAATGGAGTGGACAGATTTGCTGTGTATACTGACGCATCACGAGAAGGCCTGGGTTGCGTTTTAATGCAAGACCGTAATGTGATATCTTTTGCCTCGAGAAAATTAAAACCTCACGAGCAGAACTACCCAACCCACGATCTGGAGTTAGCCGCAGTTGTTTTTGCTCTAAAGAAATGGAGACACTACCTATATGGGGTTACCTTTGAGGTTTACTCGGACCACAAGAGTCTTAGGTACCTCTTCTCCTAGAAGGAATTGAACATGAGGCAACGACAGTGGATGGAATTTCTAGAAGATTACGACTGCACAATTAACTACCATCCGGGAAAGGCAAATGTGGTAGCCGATGCCTTAAGTCGTAAGGTGCAAGTAGCATGATTGATGATCAAAGAGTGGGATTTATTAGAATCCGTATGTGAGTGGAAACCCTGTCTTGGGAGTCATAAGGTGAGTTTTAGCAATGTTAAAGTAACCTCCACTCTACTGGAACGCATTAAAGGGGCGCAAAAAGAAGATTTGATAGTAAGGAAGTGGGGAGAGAAAGTGGAGAAAGGAGAAACAATGGATTTCAATTTTAGTCCTGAGGGTATTTTGAAATACTGGAACCGAATAGTGGTGCCGAAGGATGAATCATTAAAAATGAAGATTCTAGAAGAAGCTCATCGGTCCAAGTATACAATCCATCCGGGTAGTAGCAAGATGTATCAAGACCTAAAAGGAACCTATTGGTGGGATAATATGAAGAATGAAATCGCTTTGTACGTGCAAAAATGTCTCGTGATACGAATTCGACCCAACAAGAACCTGTCTTGAAGAACCGAATCGATCAGGCAGCGGAAGGATCTATCTTGACCAGGTTATGGATACAAAGATGGAAAGACCTTACGACCCCTCTAATCCCCGTGACTACGAACTTGTTGATATTATCTCAACCCGTAACCAAACGAATTAGTGAACCTCAGGCAAGTGTAGAAGGCGCCACAATTCAACATGGTCTTGAATTGATAAGCCGAAACTTGAACAAAGGAGATACAACTCACTTTGTATCAAGGAACGCTCCCAAAGGAACAAGAAAGAGAAAACTCTCAATTTTTATTCATCTCATAATTGTGTTTTTCAATAGTTAAATAAAGTTGGCTATTTATAGCCTTGCAAGACTCAAAACCCTAATCTAAATTGGAAACAATACAAGTTTCCTTATTTGACTTGACTTCTAAACTTGACATAACTTCCTAAACAAATTTGGAAGCAATTAACTGCTTTCCTAAAACTCTAATTCAACTAGAATAGGAAACTAACTAATTCAAATTGGCTTAACTATGGTCAACATGACTTTAGCCTTTATTCCCTAATTCAAACAACTTACTTAACTCTCAATTTGGAAATCAATCAAGATATCAATCAAGATACCAATCAAGATTTGGAAGCCAATTAAAATTTGGAAAATTTGGATCTTCAATGATTCTCGAGCCCGATTGCACCATCAACCATCATTAGAATGTGCAGACTTGTAAAATGAAAGGAATCCATGCAAATCTTCATGTTCTCATCATTCCCCTCCTCTTGAAAGACGATTTGTCCTCAAATCGAGGGCTTGTTTACAAAGGAGTAACTCGGAGAATGTTATATGTAATCCAAGAACTTCAAGAAATTATCAAGACATGTATCAAAGTTTCAAGACTTCAAGATTAGTTTCAAGAAACTCAAGAAACCCTAGATTATGGTAGTCCCTCTCCAAGATTCCAACCCCAAACAAGTTCAACCACAAAATCAGTTTAGGAAATTAATTAAAACAACTTGGTGGAATAAACTAAAGTTTGGACAGATTTGGCAAGAAACTTGCGCCCAAGGAAACCCTAGTGGTTGGATTTTTTTTTTTTTTTTACTCTAAACCAACACAAAACTTCAAGAACAATATAACAAGACACCAAAATAAGAAAAGAAACACAAGTTATGAACAAAAGTTTTTTTTTTTCGGGATGAACAGTGTCGCTACAGTAGCGGTGAACAGTATCGCTACAGTGCGGCACGGTGAACAGTATCGCTACAGTAGCGATGAACAGTACGATGCTACAGTACTTTTTTTTTTTTTTTTTTTTTTTTTAACCTTGACGGAAGACACACAATCGGACTTGACACAAAGGAAGACACGACCAGAATTGCAAAATAAAATTGACTAGAATTGGAGGATTGAAGGAGAACATTGGATTGACATTAAATTCTGGAATTCTACCCAAAAAAAACAGCCGAGTAATTGTGTGTTCTTAGAGTCAAAAAAAAAAACAAACAGAAAAAGGAAAAGAGAAAAGGCATTCGGGTAGCAAACAACAAAGAAGGAAGCCGCACTTTTATTTGCCAAATTCTGTCTTGTTGCACTTGTTCCAACAAACCAGAAAATTGCATCAAGAAAAGACTACTCAAAAGTTTTGACCAACCTCCTCTTGAAAATCTTGCACACCTTGAGCCTTGATCACTTGTATCACCCATTGAGTTTTTTGAGGATCTTGACCATCTTGATTCTTGAAGATTTGCACCTCCCTACGTATAAACAGTTTCTTGTACGTCCTTGCATCCATACGGGGCTTTCTTGGCTTAGGAGTAAACCTCTTGGGAGTTTCTTGAGCAGGCCGCTTGGGGTATTCTTGGGTGACGTTGCTTGTGTCATCTTGTGAAGCCATTGTTTAGCACCAAGCGTCAAAACTGTCCTTGTGTGGAGCAAAGAGGGGAGGGCTGAATTGCTTGTTCTTTGAAGGGGAGTATAGCCGAGTTTTATGGAAGGTTTTTAGAAGCAAAATTCTGGAAAATTTTAGAGGTTAGGAAGTTACCAAATCTGGAAAATTTTTCAGGAAGTTCTAGCCAACTATGAGAGGGATTTAAGAAGAGGGAATTCTGGAATTTTCTGAGATTAGTTTCGGTTGGAATAGGAAACTACCAAATTCTGTTTTGCACTTGGTTGACCAGCCGACTTTAGGAAAGGAACAAGGAGAAGGAAATCTGGAAAATTTTTGGAAACAATTCTGTTTTGGTATAGCTGATTTTGAGGAAGGTTAAGGGGGTACAAAATCTGGAATGTTTTGGGAACCAATCCTATTTCCATTTAGCCGACCTTAAGGAACTTTCCAAAAAGTACAACACCTAATTTGTTTTCCAGAAAAATCAATTAGGAAAATTAAGGAAACACTTGGGAAACTCCATCATTGTATTTGGACATTCTTCGTTTCATTCCTTATCATTTCATTCTTCATTTCATTCCGTTTCTACTTTTGTTCCTTGTTACTTTAGTACAATTGGGAGCTATTTGATTAAAGTTTGATTGAATTTCCTTGAGAAAATTTCTGATTTCTTCAAAGGTACCTATCAAGTGGCTTGAGAAGTGAATTGGTGAGAGCATTAGAGGGACATAAACACTTGAGTGAAAACACGAGAGGAGTGAAACACTTAAGGGAGCAAGTGAGACCTTTTCTACTAACAATTTGTCAAGTTTTGCAGGTTCACCATGTCTCAGGAAAATGAACTTACCATTGCTCAGTTATCACTTAAAATGGATGCTATGTGGAAGGAAATGCAGAGGAGACTGGACCAACGACTGGAAACGATCCATGAGCAGATTGATCACCTAAGTTCATCTAGGGCTTCATCTAGGAAATCTAAAGGAAAATCCGCCCTGGAGGAATCTAGTGACTCCAACGCCGATTCGGACCGTGAGACCTACAGACAAGGGAGACCGAAGAGGAACACAAGAGCAATTGGTGATGCAATCCAAGGGATTAAGATGAAGATTCCTCCATTCCAAGGCAAATCCGATCCGGATACATACCTTGAATGGGAAAGTCGGGTAGAGCTAGTATTTGATTGTAATGACTACACCGATGCCCAAAAATTGAAACTTGCCATAGTAGAATTCACCGACTATGCCATAGTTTGGTGGGAGCAAGTGGTTACCAGCAGGAGAAGGTGTGGTGAACCACCTATAACCACGTGGACTGAGCTCAAGAGACTTATGAAGAAGCGATTTGTACCAAGTCACTATCATAGAGACTTGTACAAAAAACTTCAAACCTTGACGCAAGGCCAACGCTCAGTTGAGGACTACTACAAGGACATGGAAATCTCCATGTTGAGAGCTGATATTCAAGAAGATCGAGAAGCTACAATGGCAAGATTTCTCAGTGGTCTAAGGGTTGAGATAGCCGATCAACTTGAGCTTCAATACTATGTGGAGATAGATGATATGGTTGACAAGGCTATCAAGATTGAGCAAAGACTCAAGAGGAGGGGTGCAACCAGAAACTATAACCCTCCTCCACAAACATTTACTCGTCCATTCCAGCCTAGAAGGGAAGAGAGAGGTTCGAATACTTGGAACCCTCCAAGGCCGAAGCATGATCAAGGTCCAAGCTCACGGCCGTCTTTTGCCAAACCAGACTCCAAGGTTATTTCCAAGCCACCAATCGAAACTTCAAAACCTAGGAGTCGTGACACCAAATGTTGGAGGTGTCAAGGAGTTGGGCATATTGCAAGCCAATGTCCAAACCCAAGGGCCATGCTTGTCCTACCAAATGGAGACATTGTCACTGATGATGAAGAAGAGGAATACACAGACATGCCTCCCTTGGTTGAAGAGGAAGATGAGATAGAAGAAGTTCCAACTCAAGACAAGGTTGGATTGGTAGCAAGAAGAGCACTAGCTACTCAAGCTAGTAAAGATGAGCTTCAACGTGACAACATTTTTTACACTAGGTGCCATGTGACCAACAAGGTATGCAGTTTGGTGATCGATCCCGGAAGTTGTACTAATGTTGCTAGTGCATTGATGGTGGAGAAACTAAACTTGCCGACTAGTGAGCACCCTCGTCCCTACAAGCTTCAGTGGTTAAACAACAGTGGAGAGGTACGTGTTCTTAAACAAGTTTTGGTTACTTTTCGCATTGGTAGGTATGAAGATGATGTTATGTGTGATGTAGTACCAATGCAAGCTGCACATATACTCTTAGGGCGTCCTTGGCAATTTGACAAAAGAGTCACTTTTGATGGTTTTTTGAACAAATACTCTTTTATGCATAATTGTAAAAAGATTACACTTGCACCTCTTACACCTCAACAAGTGCATGAGGATCAAGTTAGTCTACAAAAAGAGTATGACCTGCATGCTACCACCAAGAAGGACAACGCCAAAGCTAAGAAATTAGTGTTGGCCGACCCTTCTTCAAGTAAGTTGGATCACTCTCATTCGGCCTTAGAGCCCACACAGGAGAGAAAATCCAGCATGCTTGCCAAGGTAAAAGATGTGAGAAAGGCCTTGCACTCTCACCAGATTTTATTTATTTTATTTTGCAAAGGGTCCTTATTCACTGATGCTCCTGATGCTTCCTTGCCTAGTAGTATTACTAACCTTTTGCAGGAGTATCAAGACGTCTTTCCTGAGGATATACCTACTGGTTTGCCTCCATTAAGGGGAATTGAACATCAAATTGATTTCATTCCTGGATCTTCCCTTCCCAACAAGGCACCATATAGGACCAATCCTGAGGAAACCAAGGAGCAACAACGACAAGTGGAGGAATTACTTAGTAAGGGTTGGATTAAAGAGAGTCTAAGCCCTTATGCTGTACCAGTTCTACTTGCTCCAACCAGCACTAGTCGGGTTACAATGGCTTTAGATGCCGTTTTTGCACGTCTTGATGCGTACAACGCGCAGCCCAACCAAACCTTGGTTCACCGGGCGTCCGCTCACGGTCCACCCATAGACTTGAGACGTCACTTGTGTGCCCATTATCATGGAACTCTTGCTGTCCGCAACATGTATCTACCACCACCACGAGTTTTCCTGGTGTCCCACAAGGGTGTCCTGATCTTTCTTCGCTTGAGGAGGCGACATGCAGGCTGCTTGGTGACTATACACATGCTCTCATCACTTTTGTTTTGTAAGAAGAGTCCTGATTTGGGGACAAATCGCCATTAAGAGGAGGGGAATGATGAGAATATAGAGACCAAGGCCCATTCCATTCAAGCACATGGGGAATTGGAAAATTCAAGTAAAGACTAGTTCGCGGAGTACTAGCTTGTTAATTAGGTTTTTAGTTATCATTATTAGTTGTTTGTTAGCATTAAATAATTTCGGTCAATAACACTTTACCTTTGGCCGAATTCTGAGTCTTAGATTAGTTAATTAGTTGTTAGATATTTTCACCCTTAATGAAGGGCAAGGTCGTCCATTGGATCTTCTAGGGTTTGAGTCATGTAAGGCTATATATAGCCTAGGTTTTCATTCATTGAGGACAGAATTCAGATTTTATAACATAATTGTGAGTTTATTCACTCTCTCTTGCTTCAAGGGAATTTCCTTTGAATACTTGAGAATTAATCTCAAGTTGTTCATCGAACTTATCAATCAAGTAGTCTCCTTGATTGTGGCGTTCTTCTAAATATACTTTGGTTCACTAAACTGGCTAGTCTTGGGTTAAGGATTCTCCTTAGTTCGTGGCTCATGATTCTAGCAGGGTCAAAGTTCCGCAAATCCACTCAACTTGGTGTTCGTCTAGATCCGTCTCACATCATCTCGTTTGCCAACAGGTGAAAGCAGAGCATCAAAAACCATCGGGCTTGTTACAGCCCCTTGAGATACCCGAGTGGAAGTGGGAAAACATCACCATGGACTTCGTTTCAGGTTTGCCGCGGACGCAGAGAGGGCACGATGCCGTTTGGGTGATCGTCGATCAATTAACCAAATCGGCCCATTTCTTGCCAGTAAACATAAAGTACTCCATGGACAAGTTGGCCCAACTATACATGGATGAGATTGTAAGGCTACACGGCGTTCCTGTGAGCATCGTTTCTGATAGAGATCCCCGGTTCGTATCTCGGTTTTGGCAGAAGTTCCAAGAAAACCTGGGGACTAAACTCAACTTGAGCACGACTTATCACCCTCAGACGGATGGACGATCGGAGCGGATGATCCAAACTCTCGAGGACATGCTACGGACTTGCATTCTGGATTTTGGAGGCAACTGGGGTCAACACATGACCTTAGTAGAGTTTGCGTATAACAACAGCTACCATTCGTCGATTCAAATGGCTCCATACGAGGCACTATATGGACCAAAATGCCGGTCACCGATCTACTGGGATGAAGTTGGTGAAAGAAAGGCACTAGACCCGGCAACTATTCCATGGATAGAAGAGGCTCGAGAAAAGGTCAAGTTGATACGGCAACGACTCCAAACAGCTCAAAGCCGACAGAAGAGTTACGCCGACAATCGAAGAAAAGACTTGGAGTTCGAAGTTAGAGACCACGTATTTCTCAAGATCACACCCTTACGGAGCATCACAGCAGGCAAAGGAAAGAAGCTCCAACCGAGGTTTGTTGGACCCTACAAGATCCTCCAGAGGGTAGGAACGATAGCATATCGACTGGAGTTGCCGTCCAGTCTCTCTCGAATTCACGACGTCTTCCACGTCTCGATGCTCAAGAAATACTATCCCGACCCATCCCATATCTTACAACCAGAGGAGATCGACGTAGACGAGTCGCTTGCTTATGAAGAGAAACCTATCCAAGTGCTTGATCAGAAAGTCAAAGAGCTAAGGAACAAGCAGATTCCGTTGGTTAAGATACTATGGAGAAACCATGGGGTAGAGGAAGCTACCTGGGAGGTGGAAGAAGAGATACAAAAGAAATACCCTAAACTTTTCGTGAGTTAAGGTGAGAAATTTCGAGGGCGAAATTCTTTTAAGGGGGAGAGAGTCTGAGAACCTGTAATTTTCTCATTTTTCTAGGGTTTATTATCGTTATTGGCATGTTTTCCGCATTTTCTTTATTAGGAAATTTTTTTTCCAATAATTTTTATGCGTAAATATAGTTTTTAGATGATTTTTCTAGTATCGAATAGTTTTTGAGAAATTAAGAGCACATACCGAACGTAGGACCCACTAGGTCAAAAAATTCGGAAAAATTCGGCCAACTAGGTTAAGTTTTGGATACTGGGTTTAAATTATCGGGTGCTAAGAGATAGTTAGAGGTTGCTGGTTGGATTGTTGTGAGAGAAAACAAAGAGATAGAGATGCATTAATTATAGTGACAAGTGTCAGCAAATGATTAGTGGTACTTTATGACTACTATTCATTGTCTTACCAATTGACCAAATAAATTCAAAAATTTACCAAAAATTCACCATTTCCTCTTCATCTTGGCCGGCCAACTTCAAGAAAGAAAGAAAGAAAACTCTCCAGGTTCTTGCTTCCATTTAGCTCAAATCCATCAAAACAACCACTTAAACTTGCTTTTGTTCCATAAAACCTCATCACTTAGTGTTGGTGAGGTGATTGGTGAAGTTGTTTGGAAAGCTAAGGTGACTAGTTGCTCTCTCTCTTGTGTTGCTAAGGTGAGTTGTGAAGAATCCCTCTCCTCCCTCTAATGAAGCTTAATTCATGATTGGGGGTAGTATAAGATGCAATTTTATGGATTATATCTTGATTTTTGGTTGAATTGGTGATGTCTTATACTTATTGGTGATTTTTCTGTTTTCATATGAATATGATTATGTGGTCATGTGTGATGATTGGAAATGGTATTTAAGGAATCTAGAAGGTGGAAAAAGTGGTTAATTGCAAGCAATTTTAGTTTTGGAAGAAATTTGGAAAGTTAGGGTTTTATGATTGTACATTCTGCCTGGCACTGTAGCACATAGTTAGAGGCTGAATTGGCTTTGGGTTAAAACATAAAAGTTGTAGGGAATACTATTTTAGAGATGCCGGTAAAATTTCAGGTCAATCGGAGTAGCGTAGCTTGAGAAAAGATGGAAATACCCTTGCTGCCCTGGTTTTACCCGAATTTGATAGTTGCATATGTAATTGGTTAATTTGGTTGGGAATGCTTCAGAATTGGTTGTTGAGGTCTTCTGATGAAATGTAGCCTTGTATATTAGCTTTTGGATGGCTTTGGAATCACTAGATTTGGACTTAGGTAGCCTGACTTATGATGTTTGAACCAGAATGCGGTTTGTGAACCTGTTTTGCGGTTCTGGTGTAGTATATCGCATATTTGACCTGGTTACACTCGAAACTGGATAGAGTAGCCTTCTGAAACTTTGTAGCCCTATCTCTTAGCTTCGAAACGGTGTATCTTACACCTCCATCCGATAATCGTAGTACCTATGGTGCCAAAACCGCATAATGACATCAAAAACTGTTTCTTTGAATTGAAGCAATTCCATTTCCGGATTTTTCTGGTTTCTTCTAATGCTTATGTATGCTTATGGAACCCTATTTTGGGAGTATTTGGCATTGGTTTATGATTCATTATCGAGTCTCAGTGTACTTGTTTGCATGTTTTAGGGCGTGACGGTGGTTCACGACGCTCCTTTGACGGAGGTGCATGAAATATCATTTTCAAGCTTGGTGAATGTACTACTCACTTGTGTGTTACTCTATGGCTTTGATATTTGAACTGGATGTGTTGAATGTTTATTGCACCTTCGATATTGACTTAAGTGAGGGTGTACTTGATCACTCTCCCTTTTATGCCTTATATCATTTTTTTTATCATGTTATTGGAATGTTACATGAAATGAAAGTACTTGACTTGGTGTCGTTTGGACAAGTATCCAACGACCATGATTGTTACCATTGAGCTCAATCCCATTGGTAGTTGATTGAATCGAGCCGGTGAGGGCTTGGTCGTGCCAATTAATGAACCTTGGGGACTGTTATATGGAATCTTGTAGTATGAGAGACTCTCGATTCCGGTATACTCGAGTAATACCACATTGCAAGTATTTGGAGTTCGGGCCCGGTAGGAGAATGTTAGGTGGGCGGAATGGAAGTAAAGTGGAGCCTACGGTTAGTTACTCTTAAACATTGACGGAGGGTCAATGAAGCCCGATCAAGTATACAAACGAGGAAAGGGGCTCTTGAGAGCCGTCCGTATCCTTTTATCAAGTTATTGACATATGATCATGGCTTACTTTCTTGTGGAATGCAAATCTCATGCTTATATGAACTTGGTTGCTTGAGTGGTATTATCTCACTGGGCGTAAGCTCACCCTATTCCTTTTGTTTTCCTTACAGGAAATAAACACTTTTGGAATGACTTTTGATAGTTGGTTGCCGAATTGAGCTAGTTGGACATATCTTTTGTATAGCTCCTTGATTGAAACCCTAAATGTACTTTTGGATCCGTTTCTCTTTTGATTTGGCAAACCGTACATGTATCCACTTTGGAATAATTTTTGTATGCCACTTTAGATTGTATATGCTTAATTTCAACATGTAAATATTTGCTTGATGTTCGGTTGGATTTTGACGTGTCGGTTACTATTCATGGCCGACTCCGGTTTCATTTTTTTTATTTGGACATTGTGACTCGTTTACGCGCGTTAGTATGTTCCGGCACGTCTTAGATCGAGGTGAACTAAATCGTTAGTCCTGGCGAGAGTTGGGCAGGCAGTCCGCTAACCCCTTTGGTTCGCCTTAGGGGAAGGTGGGGCTATCACAATTTTTAAAAGGATTCTCTCGAAAAAAAAATAGAAAAAAAAATCAAAAAAAAGAATCAAAAAAATCAAAAATCAAAAAATCAAATTCAATTTCTTGTTTTTTGAAAAATCAAATTTAATTCTTGTTGGTTATGTCTCAGCATCAGCCGCGCACCCTTTTATTCCCCCTTCTTGAAAATCACATTTAATTTCTTGACCAATTGAAATGCAAGCTCGGGTATGGATCCCACTAACCAATTGAAGGCAGGTTTGGGTGTTGATCCCACTGACCAATTAAACCCGGGTATGGATCCCACTGACCAATGGATGGTAGGCTCGGGTATGGATCCCACTAACCAATGGAATGGCAGTTCGGATATTATCCACTGGCCGATGCTATGGCAGGCTCGGGTTGTTATCCCACTAATCAATAGTACAGTTGGTTTAGATATTATCTCACTGACCAATTGAAGGCAGGTTCGGGTGTTGATCC